ACAGAAATCCCCAAAATTCGTGTAGAAATGCTTGTATGTATTATATGTGATTAGCTGGCTTACCCGGCTCCGCTCGGCTCAAATAATTGGACACAGTTTTGTTTTATGTTTGAAAAACATGAGCCAGTCCTCAAAATGAGTTTCAATAAACTGTTAAATATCAAATTCATATCTTGTAGGGCTGTGCTTTAAAAACATGGCTCTGAGATAAGTTTAACCGACACTAAAATAAATCAGCAAAAACACGATTACTCTAACTTTTCACTCTTAGGCCCCGGACAGACTTCACGCGATTTGATCGTCGCGATTCAATCGCCGAGATTTCCATTAATTTTCATTTCACATTCAAAAATTTCGGGCTGGAAAAGTATCACAACCGAAATGCAAAGTTGATCGGCATGGAATGATGTTGTAACAGTTGTCTCGTCGCGATTTAGTCGCGACGACCAAATCGCATGAAGTCTGTCCGAGGCCTTAGGCAGGCGCGCTACGACTGGCGATCGCCAATATCGGCGACAAAGATCGCCGGTTTCATACGTATTTGATGCATATCGATCGTCGTCAAGCTATACTCCTCGAGGAGTATAGCGAACATGCCTTAGCAAACATTGTGGGGGACATGCTTCATTAAATTAATTTTAACTGGTTTTTGGGCTTTTCGGTTGAGTTCCGATGCTCTCTTCGTAGACATTTTGGAAAATGTTAGAGAAAAAGAACCGGTTTTATCTTGAAAGTCTCTCCACATGTAGCGGCTATCACATCGACAGCGTTCATTATCTTTTATATAAAACTGAATGTCTGTTTGTCTGTCTGTCTGTCTGTATGTACCTATGTTCCGAATAGAAAATTCCATTTCTAAACCGATCCGGACCAAACTTGGCAACATACACTTCGGGCCCCGGCGGGTGTCATAGGCTACTTTTCGTCATCGATCGATATCGAGTTTATCGATTTTTTGCAAAATTTGAGCTACGGGGCTGGGAGTTGGCAGAGGGGGTAATCGAACATGCTGATTAGAAATATGTTATTGACAGGGCCGGGCGGAGCCGGGTTTGCCAACTAGTTCGAAATATGGTTACTAAACGGTAGAAACAAAGAAAACTCAGTCTTTAATTTTTTTTCCACTGTTCCTCTAAGCAATTCAATGATCTTCTTTCTGAATCAGCTTATGAGAATGGCGCATGGAAAACTACAGAATATAAACGCAATTTGACATCTGATCAAAAAAATTTTCGGGACTGATCACCGCTTAGTTTGTATTATCCACTTCGTTCCGCTTCAAAGCACGATATAACCTCCCTTTTCTTATTTTTCTTATGAATCGGTCCCGATCAATGCTTACTGGTTCTTAACAGACACAGCAATGGCCAGAAAATATTGGTAAAATTGTTAGGATCTTAGTAAGAGACTGATGCTTAAGATTGGAGCTTCACCTTTGCCTGGCTCTGTCGAATAAAACGCAGTAACGTACACCAAATAATTAGGCACACATTACAACCGTACTTAAAACAAAACACTTCAGTAACTCACTTCTTAAAACGAGCTTCCCTGACAGAAAGTGAAAATGAGACCTACCCTAATTTCACGCGTACAAGGCGCACCTTTTTCGATTTTTCGACTAAGCCCATCAGCCGCTTTAAATTATTTTGAAAAGCGATCCTTATGCCGTATGATTCTCTTAAGCAATATACAGCAAGGCATAGGGTCCTTTGGTTGCGAAGTTCTTTGGCGTAATTGGGCTGGTCGATTTTGGAAAAAAGTCCCCCGCGCCTTGTACGCGTGAAATTAGGGTACTTTGCTTATTTGAATGTAAATGGCTTAGGTAGTTCAAGGGTCTTAGTAAGACATTGATGCTTGGTTGATAAGGTTTATTTTCATCGCAAACGGTTGAAAATCGATAAATCGATAAAAGGGCCCATTGAAATGGGAAGTAGTTCTGAACCACCATTGGGGTCGAAAACTTACGTGTGCGAAATAGCAGGTCAATTGGTTCAACGGTGGCGTTTCTATAACGAACGAACAGCCTAACGAACATACAGAATTTGATATACACTTTGATATATCTATATACACATATAGATAATTCACTGCATATATTAAAAATTTTATTGCAAAGAGAAGAAAGTTGCAAAACAATTTGTGAATTACAATTTTTCGTAGAAGCATCCGATGAGTTGGAACTCATTTCGTAATCACAAAAGTCTATTTCAAATACCCAAAAGAAAATCAGATTCAGGATTTGACGTCTAGCGTTTGGATATATCGAGTCGTTCCGCAAGTGATTTTTTTGTTTTTTTTAGCAAATTCGTCGGAAGGTTTTAAGCGCACGATACAACATTCATTTTTTTTTCAAATGGCTATCCACTTATTCCAGTTTGACCAACAGCACATAACATTTCAAAAACTGCGAGCCATGCTTCTTGCCATGGATAAATCTTACGTATTCAGACGACTCATCAAAGAAGTCCGAATAACGAGTAAGTAGTGCTAAATACAGAAACAAATCATTTTAATTTTTGTACAACAAGCTGAACGCATAATTACTGAAGGAATTCCGAATGCATTAGCCACAGAAATATAATTATATTAAGTTGAACCGAAAGCTCTGTCGCTAAGATTTTTAAAATTCGTAACTGCTGCTTGTTGAGCATGTTCGCTTGCAATTGAGAAGGAAAAATCATCCACTTTTCAATAGTACCTTCAATGCTCCTTGATGGCAAGGGATTCAGAGATGAAAATTCGAATAGGAATACCAATTTGGCTTCCGATTTACAAAAATAAACTGTCAAAATTCCGGAATGCTGCAAAAATTTGAAAACATGAGAAGAAATTGTGTTTGCCTTTTTTGCATTTTCCACAAAATCATATCAGCACAATCTTGACATTGCTAAAAAGAACAACTTACGCAGACTGTACATGCTCTCATCTGTAGCGTTCCAGATTTTTGGCAACTGATTTTCAAAAATTGTTAGAGTGGTTTTCCTATCCGAATTTTATCTACAGAATCCCTTGTCGTCAAAGAGCATCGAAGATGTTAGCTAGTAAATGGCTTTTTCTTTCAAATGATGTTTATTGTAAGCGAATGTACTCACTCACACAAGAAGCAGTTACGAATTTTTCAAAATCGCCGCGATAGAGTTTTCGGTTTAACTCATATTAACGGAAGGAATCTCATCAACGTAGTATTTGCTCAGCAATCATAATAAAGCACATACGCCTCCTTATGGTTTAGTTCGATAATATTTACCAGAGCTACACAATGTAATTTGCTGTATAAACTACATGTCTGCACTAAAGTACAAACACTGTAAATATTTTTAGTTGTGTTTGATTTGAGGTAAAAACGCATCAATCATATTGATTTCCATGGTAAACTGCTGATATACGAATGTGCTAAAGAAGTGATATTTGAAGTGGTTCCACCGACTACAAAAGCAGAACATGGAAAAGAATTGAAGAGCAATTCTCGAATCAGTTAACGATTCAGCGAAGTTGCATCTAAAGCGCTTTTCTTCTCAAAAACATTGTTACAAAAAAAGAATTTGACTACGTTGTCTCCAAACTTACGATGGGTTGAATCTTGTATTTAGCTGTTCTAAGAAACCAGTGATAGATGTTTGAAAGGTCCGAAAAGAAGAACATAACAAATTGTGATGCTTGTTCATTTTGATGCGGAGGCAAATTTGCTGTTTGCCCAAAAGTTATGTATCTAGCTGTTTTGGCTAATTTAATAACATTAGTACACTATAACGTTGTGTTTAAATTGATGTAACGAGATGAGGAGTTTGTTCAGTTCTGATGTGATGCCATATTTACTTGATAGTATTGGGCTCTGTGTTATTCCAGCTTTCGCGTGTGAGCGTATAAAAAGGAGTGGAAGCAATTAAAGCCATTACTAATCAACCTTCACCAAGGATGAAACTTCTAGTGCTTTTGGTATGCTTCACAGCTTTTTCTACATGGTACACACTCAATTGTGCCAAATTTCTTTTTAAGGCAGCGCTTCTGGTGGCGACTGTGACGGCTGTGTATCCGGTGAGAGGACCTGGGTATCCGGTGAGAAAACCTGTGTATCCGGCGGGAGGACGGCTAGCGCAACCTGGATTCAATGTTTACAGCAATTATAATCAATCGGCGCAAAATAATGAAGAGTCGGTTAGTTTCAGGCACAAAGATCACCTAATACCTATTTCGGCATGGGACTGCCAACGCAGCTGCTGAAATGTGAAAGTTGTCTAGTTTTTCTAGAAAAGCAAATTTGAAGAAGGAAATTCTTGTTTTTATGAGCCTAAATCAGTAAACTTGACAGCGGATCGTCTATTGTAATTACATCTGAACGCCAGTGACGGAGGGGAGAGAGGACGCCTCCTTGAAAGCCACTCAATCTGTTTAAAAAATCTGCAAGTGACTTATTCTTAATTGTTTGATTGTAATAATTTTTGAGGATTTTCAAAAGTCCAAATTAGCCCTGAAAAATTCTTGGGACATGGCTGCAGCCAATTTCCTTTTACTGAAATTTGAGAAATATGGGCCCGCAAAGATTTTGGTGGGCATCTCAAGAAATTATTCATGCCACTTTCTAGTGCTAACAATCAATAAATTCGGGCAAATCCCGCAGTAAGAGGAAGCGAAGGACACAAGTTATTTTTACACCTAATGATAAAAATACATCTCGCCTTTCCATAATCGAAGCTCTCCTCAAAGGGAGTGACAGGAGAATTGTTTTCCAGTTTCTCACTTTTTGGGTCTGCGCATTCATCGCGGGAAAATGGCGAAAATGAGCCTTTTTCAAAGCTCTTCATGTCCCCCTTCCGCAAAAATGTACGTAGGTAGGCGGGGTCCGGAACATTTCGTAGTAAATTTTAGGCTTTTGAGGCGGGCTTTCTCGCTCCAAACTTTACTGATAAACTTTGCAACGCCTCAAAAACCCAATATCCATCACTTTGCTGGACGCTGCATTTAACTAGCAAATTGTAGTTTGAGAATGGCATGATTCATTCATGGTCGAAGGTGGGGACGAATACGGTTGTGTGCAATACAACTTAATCAAACCTTTTCAGCTTTCTCGTGAACTGTTGAAACTGCTCGTGGCATTCAATCTAGTGAGTTATTGTATTAGTTAGTCAAGCCATAGTGTTGCAATACACAATTTCACGCTCAAAGTAATCTCAGCTTTTCAGTATGGCAATAATGATGAAATCAAAAAAGCTGAGGGTCAGATCAAAGAAGCTGACGTGAGTTTTTGTGTATGGATAGATTTTCCCCATCCGCTCTGTTCTTTGAGTGCATATCAGGCGAATAGACGTTCTTTGCTTAAGCGCAAGAATGCTGCACCTCCGCCTCTTCTTTGCGCCCACAACTTTCTTGAGTGCAAAATTTCGCTTTATAATTGACTATCCTTCCATCTGTAGCTGAGGAAGAAATTCTCTGCTTATCTTATCCAATGAAATTGTCTGACTTGTCCTATTTCAGAAGGAACTTGGAGTGAACTACCTGAAGAGCTTGGATGTGAGTTTGTATCTAGAATGAAACTTTAGCTGTTTCTGTTGTTTTCCAAATTTATTACTTTATTACGATTATTCAAACTTCAGATACTCAGCAAAATTGCATTGTGTTAAGAGTTATAGACGTTCAAGAATTCATTCGCGTTCAGAATTTGCACGCATAAACGCGTGCAACACATCTTATTAACCTTAGCTGACGATGTCAAACCATCCAGACACATGCTATGGTTTTCCTCTTTAGCAATTTGTAGTCTAAACCAATTTTCTCTCATTTTGTCTTTCTTTGCAAAAATAACCAGAAAGTGATTTGTAGTTAATCACTATCTAACATGTCCGGTTTCGCCTTGACCTGCAAAGTTTGTATCAACGATATGGTCCCTTTCCGATCAGCTTAAGCGCAACGCTAGAACACCATGCGCGTAGCTTGAGCCGCCAAATCAGCCGCATCGACCGGAGATCGCTGCGCCATGTCCATGCGTTGCGTACTTGAAACGTGAAAAAGGAGCACGTTTGGAGATTGTAGCACGTTCGGGGCATCTAGCACATTTTTTGCGAAAAATCACCTTGAACATTTGGCTAACACGGCATTTCTTTATAATAGCTCTTTGTAATCTGCATCTCACTAGTCCTCAGTGCCGATCCCAGCTCCATAGCTTTGAATTCGCAGAATATGCTGAAGTGATTTTAATCTTAGTCGAAAATGCCTTTCTTCCAGTTCTGTTTTGCTCTTCATAGTCAGCATTTTGGAGTACGTGCATGCACCATTAGCAAAGATTATCACTCGCCTGTATAGGGCGTTGAAGGGACCGAGATGAGGGTCGAAGTGATGCCTTTTGAATGAGTGTTTTATGCTCCTGTGGGCGCAAAAACCGCAGTCAAATCCGTCGTTATGATTTTAGAAATGACCTATATGTATGCGTGCGATTCCTAATCTTGGTCGGCAGGAAGGGATTACTCTACCTGTGACGTACCTGCAAAGACACACACATACGCACAAACAGACATTACGCTACTTTCACAAACCCTTTGTCTCAATGACAATGTCACGGCTATGCGCCGCCGTCGCAAACATATCCTCTGGATTTTTCTACGGCCGTCAGCCTTTGATCGCTGCTCAAACTAAAAATATCCACAAGGTACGTCGGGAATGCGACACAAAATTCGATCTTGGAGGACACGAGAGAACTGAACTTTCCACTCTCACCGCAACAGTCTTTAAGGAAAAATTACTTGAATTAAAAACGAATGCATGTGCCTTTGAGATCCAAAATAAGTTGCCTTGAGAGGACTCCCTGCATCCAAACTGTGTAGCACATCTTTTCTACGAATGAATCAATAAGTGTTTAGGTAAATTTCAAATGAAAGTATTGAAACACACTTTTTCAGGGCAAGCGTCCTATCGGCCGTTTCCCTCAAGTAGTGGTGAGTTCATAGGCTTATGTTGCAATCACATGTCAGAAGGATCTGCATGTTTTGAACAGGCCATGCGCTACATAATCTCAAATTGATAAAAGGAAGTCGTAATACTCACAATTTTGATCTCGGCTGCGCGCATTCCAAATTAGTAGTCCTCTTACTTGTGACTCCTCGAGTTTTGCAGATGTGCAAATAACGACCTGGAGGCACATATTTATCCACTTCGCTCAGTTCATGCCTTTCATGGCATCGAAACAAAACGTTGTGTCACTTCAATTTGGAGAAGCGAACGAAGTGAATAAGTAGTATGGCGTGTGCCTCATGTGCAAATTTACGAGCAACATTGAGGTTATGTAGAACTGCTGGTTTCGTTTGCAAATTTCGAGCAAAACTCCGACTAAAATGATTAGCTCTTAAACAACACTGCAAATCACAATTACATTGCCATTTTAGGTACCCTCCGTGCGACCAGGTCTTGAAATCACCGGCCCGAGGGCTCCTCTGGTAAGAAAAAAGTTGTTTTTGCTAATGTTTAGAAGCAGTTTGTCCTTGACTGCAAAACTGTTCTGCTAATTCGCAGATATACAAGTTGGAAAAATATGTCAAGACCCTTGCAATAAATGATCGGATTATCTATCGGATTATCGGATTTTGTGATTGCAGACTGTGCATAATAGCAGGGAAATACTCCCCTTTAGTTTATTACACCAAAATTAGTTCATCTGTGTTACAAGGGAAGGGAGGTTGGTAAAAGTGGCCTTTTGACGTGAGATTTACAATCTCTTGTAAAGCTTGGAAAGCTGATTCCAAATCGAACTTTGTTATCTGCTGCGGGCTTCTGGGCCAGGAGTTATAAAGGTTTTTCTGAGCTATTTTCTCAGCGGACATTAATTCCTTGCGCATCTCCAAGCATAAATGATGGGCGTGAAATATGTGCAAGAATGCTCAAACGATATCTACATATCTACAAAATTAGAATCAATCCATTCAGGGAGAAAAAGTTTGCGTCACTTATCCAGAACTTGGAGCGCATGACTCAGTTTTCAAACTTTTCGGATTTTTGCAAGTGGTGTCCTCCGCTTTATGCTGGAGATAATCCTGCTCGAACAAATCAACAGATTTGATCTTGTTTAGCGTAGAAGAGACGCTCACTTACTATTCAAACCCTTAAGGTACAAACTGGTAACAAAAAATTTTGTGAAAAGCCCAATGACCTTTTGGACATCCATTCAATCAGCAATTGCACATCTGCGAGATACGCTTAGTACACATCCCAACTTTTACTTAGCTTTGATGATATTTAGAAACACAAACTATTTTACAGTTTTCCCTCATTAGCAAATTACACATGAAAGCTTTTTGTTTCGATACCATTAATTATTCTGTAAAAAAGAGTATGTAGCCACCCATGGGTATGTTGGCTGGTGGGCACGGTGCCCGTTGAGTTGTCCCGAAAGTAAAATCCTTCTGAACACATCCAACGGTTTTGTTTTCCTAGCAGTTCTAAGGTACCATTCGATAGAGCGAAGCAAGCTCTACAAAATAACCACCAAAGCGCATAAGACATAATCCAGGTAAATTTTGAAACCAAAAAATCAAAATTTTGAAATGCTCTAAAAACTGAGTCTCCCAGAAAATTTTTACGGACTCCAAGCTGGTCATTATACAGCAGAAGCATAATAGTAGTAGCCATAAATGTGTTTGGTGGATTTTTTCTTGGTCCTAAAATTAAGGGATTCAAGTAGTCCAAAAATGCAAAAATGTCACTGTTTGCAGTTTTTAATGTTGAACTTCGTATTTCTTGGTTACCAGGACGTACACAGATGAAATTTTAGAGTTATACCCTAAGGCTTGTGTACAACGACAAAAAGAGACGAGCTCTTAGTGATGGCAATCAATCGCTGCTTGTATGCCACACACTTTTGAGTATTCGTTGTGATTTCTGATCCATCCATACCGTAGCATGAATTTAAAACAATCCTTCTGTTTAACGTATTTAGCGAATTTGTCTGATTTACTTCATTTTAGCCTCAATCGCCTGCGTCTTCATCGGAAAGCTCCGTGAGTTTTAACCTATAGTGGTAATGAATTAGCTGTATGTACAGTTCAGTTCCGAGCCTTTCTTACTTGTATACCACACACATTATCTTTGAGTATTAGCTTTGTGATTTGTTATCTTTTATCCCGTAGCATCAATTTAAAACAATCATTCTGTTTAACGTATCTAGCGAACTTGTCTGATGTAGTTCATTTTAGTCATCTTCATCTTCATCTTCATCATCATCTTCATCATCGGAAAGCTCCGTGAGTTTCAACCTACAGTAGTAAATAATTAGCTGTATGTACAGCTCATTTCCGAGCCTTTCTTACTTGTATGCCACACACATTATTATTGATTAGTCGCTCTGTGATTTGTGGTCTTTCAACATCCCGCAGCATCAATTCAAACAATCCTTCTGTTTGACGTATTTAGCGAATTTATCCAATTTACTTCATTTTAGGAGTCTTCATCTTCATCGGAAAGCTCCGTGAGTTTTAACTTATAGTGGTAATGAATTAGCTGTATGTACAGTCCATTTCCGAGCCTTTCTTACTCCAGAACAAATATATCTGCGCATCTGTTGAGCGGACTTTGAATATTTTCGCCGCTAATAATTCCTAGCAAAACTGCATTGTGAACGGCCCATACACGTTTAGGGAATATTCGTGTCGAGATTTGCGTGCATGGAAAAGCTTAGTAACAAATCCTAATTTTTTTTAGCGTCGAAAATATCCAAAGTTCACTCTCTAATTACACTTCTGCTCGTTGATAGATCAAAGCTTAAAAATGATTTCTTATCTTGGTACCGTTCTTCGCAATAACAATTAGAGAAAACGAATTCTGTCTATTTAGCTACTGACTAAGTTGTCAAAATTTCCGGGCAGTTGGAATTTTCATTTTCACTTTCATTCTCCTCTCCCTGTGAAATTCTTTGCGCAAAAATAAAAAAAAGTAGCCATATCTATAATACAGAGTGTCCCAAAAATGTGAGCACTGCTTGATCGTTAATATCTTTCTTCCCAACAAGTCTTTTGCCTGCATCATATACTATTCTGTAGAGGAGACTTCAACTTAGATTTACCTTATCGAATCACCGATCGCTCCTCGTTACTGTAAGATTACGGTAGGAACTTCGACAAGGATTTTAGGCCATTGAAGGCCATATTCTCGTCGGAACGAAACCAAACAAGCCAAAAACTTTTATACTATGGTAATGGAAGCCGATGAGTTCGAATATGAAATTTCCACTTTACTGTGATGCTTCTTTCGAAGGTTATCCCAGCTAAACCGTAATAATGAATTTCCAGCATTTATCAGAAATGTGACTACACCGTCAAAAAAGCTAAAAACACCTGTCAAAAGTTGTGTAATGGAATCAGCATGTGCGAAAACCCTAGAACACAATTTTTCAGATTTTTGAAAAAGATTTTGTCAAATTGCGTATCTCACAGTAGATGCACATGCTAGAAGGTCATACCGTAATCCTACAGTAACGAGCAGCGATCGGTGATTCGCTCCATACCACAAATCTAAGTTGAAGCTCGCTAGAATGCTGCCTCAAGCTCGGCGAAAGTCTTGAAAGCAAAGGAGTTTTTAACGATTCAAACAGTGTTCACATTTTTTTGGGACACCCTGTATTTATTGGCTATTAGTTTGTAAAGATTTCCCGAGCAGTTTCGAAAAGTATTTTTCTGATCTAGTTTTTTTTGCATTTGTTTGACAACTACAAAATCTTTGTGCGGTTGTGTAAAAAGAAGCTTTGGCCTTTTAATGCTTGATTTTGACTTTTGATTTATATACAGGGTGTCCCAAAAGTATGTATCGAACGTTTGATCGTTAATAACTCTCTTCCCAAGAAGTCTTTTGCCTTGCTTCAGGTACCGTTTTGTAGAGCTGGCTTCAACTTAGATTTGCAGTATAGAACGAATCACTCATTTCTCTTCATTACTGTAGGATTACGGTAGAAACTTCAAGGAGGGTTTTAAGCAATGAAAGGCCATATTTTGCCCCAGAAAGGAAACAAAACAGCCTTAAAACTTTTACACTAGGCTAATTAGAGTTGCTGATTATAACTGTAAAGTTCCCAACTTATTATGATGCTTCATTGAAGAGTTATGCCAGGTAAGAAGTAGCGGCCATTTTTTCAATGTTCCTAAAAAGTGGGATTGCACCGTTTAGAAAGCTTCGTAATCTTGTGAATAGTTAATTATTGAACTCAGCGTCCCCAAAAACCCTATTACACAATTTTTCACATCTTTTTGAAAATCTTTGAAACGGCAGCTTTTTCACATTAACACCATATGTTTCAAGTTTCTACCGTAATCCTACAGTAATGAAGAGAGATGAATGATTCGTTCTATAGTGCAAATCTAAGTTGAAGCCAGCTCTACAAAACGGTACCTAAAGCAAGGCAAAAGACTTCTTGGGAAGAGAGTTATTAACGATCAAACGTTCGATACATACTTTTGGGACACCCTGTATATATATGTCAAATCGCATCTGTTCTACACATAAAAAACTATTTTCAGTCACAGAAATTACGGACTTTCTTTCTCCTGACAATTCGTGCCGGACAAAAAACTCTAGATTCCAAAAAAATTGCAGTAAAGGAGCCTGTAAATTCAAACTTGCTGCTTCACTCAAATCTGCGGGGAAAATAGTCTGAAGTCGGTTATTCAGAAGTTGGGCCCTTCTCAGAATAAAAAAATTGGTCAAATTTTCAAACTTTTCAAATTTTGTGGTGTTTGCCTCCTACAAAGAATTTTAAAAATTTTGTATGCAGGAGATAATCCTACACCAATGCACCAATCTCCAAGCTAACTTTTTGCGAAGAAAAAGCACTTTTATACCATCAGACCTTATGATACTAGCAAAACTGCAATTCGTAAGGAGCTTAACGACGTTCTGGGCATCCATCCGCGTGCTAGATAGCTTACCATCCAACTTGACGATATCTAGAATCCGGACCATGTCACACTTTGGTTTGCCGCGTTAGCATATTTTAGTATGAAAGCCTTGTCGCGACACCTTCGTTCGCCAAATTCCTTTGATATCTAGTCACCAACTAGCATACGTTCAACTTCTACACATCAGTTCCCAGTACAATATTCGTATCTTGCCCTCTCAGTGCTGGCTTTTTCAGCTCAGGTTTTACAGCTTCTCTCTCATGGTATCAGCGAAACTCATTTTTGAAATATTTTAGTAATCGCATTCACTTAGTTCCAGCTTCGATCCCAGATTCCTCGCTCAGATTCGCAGAAACAATGAAATGCTGATCGTAGCGTGGAATTTGACCATTGCTTCCCCCCTGTCCAAAGTATGCGAAAAAAATCTGGGCTGAATGGCATAAATGAGATCTTTTCTTCACAACAGACCTGCAAAGACACTTGCACACATTGAGTTCTGTACAATAACGATTGTTTGTCTAATTTGCGAATGTTGGCAAAGTAGATATTAAGAAAATCCACAATCTGCATTCTATTCTGTGAATGACCTAATAACTCTACAAGCAGGAAAGTCCCATCCTTAGCACGTTTTTTCAGGTCGACCCATTGGATAAAGCAATCAACGCTGTAAGATGATATTATATTGTTGCAATTATCATAAAGAGTACGCATGCGATTCAAAATGGGCCGTGGGTTGAATTGATGAGTCGCATGAGTCCCCAAGTATTAGTAAAAGCTAATCCATGACGATGGCTGTCGGTACAATTTGCGAGTATGCGAGTGCGGCTTCTAGCATCTTTCATCATTTTCCCTGTGGCATACCTCAAGCGATTCCATTTGCTTCGCGATGTGGCACTTCAGCGAATCTTCATAATGGCCAGCGCGCTTTGTTTACCAGACTTGATGCCTTTGCGACAACTTATAGTCTGTGCCCCTGTACGTTGAGGGACTGCACACGTTATTTTGCATTCATCTGGAAAATTGCATTGTCTCACGTACCGAATTTGACAAAATCGCTGGAAGTATGCCGTAAGCCCTACGGTTCGTACGCCCGCGCTTGCTTCGCTTATATGGTCGGCTGCATTCGTCTCGGAGTAGCCTTTAAGTAGAACTTAGAAATCACAAACTCTCACATCCGATGTAATCACAACTCTTTTCAGTACTTCGAGAAAAGTGGCGACCCGCTCGGAGTGAGTTCTTGAGTTTTGATAGATAGCTTACATTCAATCTAGTCTACATACTTCTACTACATTAAGAGATTTTCTTTGCAATCTTATGAAAACGGACTTGATTAGAAGGAAACGATCAAAACAAACCCATCTATTAGCGTGGCGTTGTCAAAACATCGTGGTTTATATGTCATTAACAACTCTTGAATGCCGAGACGCTTTGCGGTTTTCGATCCTTGATTTTCTGTAAAATCATCTAAAAAACCAATTTTTCTGTTAAACTTATCCAGTAAAATCTGATTTACTTTATTTCAGAAAGAGCGCGAGGAAGGGTCATCAGTAAGTTTGCTTCATATTAAACCACATAAGCAAAACAATGTGATTAATATGGAAACTGTGCTCTTTTAGTGAATGACTTTAAGAACAACAATACAATTATTGAACTACAGAGTACTAGTATTATTTCAACAGCATGGATCGTTGATTTTCAAGCTTTCAATGTTGCGAAGAAATCATTCGCACAAGCTAGCAAGCAGAACTGCATTTTGTAAAAGTCCCTAGACGTTTGAAAAATGTGCTCACCATCAGGACTTGCAAGCATGGGAGGCGCGTAAAACATCCAGCTTTTCATAGCGGTGACGATTTCTAAAAATATGTACTTTGTGTTGCAGTTCTCCCTAATGCAAGGGTTTAGAATAAGTTTCTGTTCTGATTCGTTCTTCCCAATAGGTGTTCTTTATCTAGTAGTAAGCTAACAGTGGTTTATCTTTGTCCCTATCGATACACATTTTAAAGTTCACCATTTCGTCCCCCTTATGAAGATAGATCTCAGTACCCTCAGTATTCCTAAGCCTAACGCCAGTTTTATCCGGTTCAACCGTTTCATTTGTTTCAGCTCAAATTGGAAAAGGAAGGATCTGTTGCGCATAAGCCTGGCTATATATACCTATTCAGTACACTTGCGTGAACCCTCCGCCACATTCCAATCCTTAAATTGAATATTTGCGCGAAAAAACCCCAGTAACTGATACAGCTCGGTTATTCTTCTCCGCGCGCTGCGTTAAATTAACTTCAGTTGCTGTTGCCCCTTGACTCTGAAGTAGGTTCTTTTTGCTAATGTATGCACTTGCACCATTTGCAATTACAGCTAATTTTAGAGTAAGTAATGTATTGTATGTAACGTAATACATCAGCAAAGCAACCTTCTTCACTGTATGGTGCAAACAACCTTTTATACACATGTTTGTCTCAATGGCAGTGTGGCCGTCTTTTGCGGCTCACGTTTCGCATAAGTTGGCTCGGTTTTGAGCGTCTTCGCGAACGTTTATATTGAGCAGTTTTTTTGCTCCCGCAACCTTTGAACGCTGCTTGAATGGGAGAATGTTCTTATTATGATATGATGCAATATCCGCGGTTATGCGGACACGAGCCGCACAAATGGTGGCATCGCCATTGAGACAAAGGTTATAGTTATACGTATATAAATCACTACTGATGCACCTCTGAATTTCAGCGCTGCCTGGAAAAAACTCTGTGCGTAGGCTTTAAAATGTATAGCACAAATATTCTGCGAACCCTAATAACAGCTAAGTTTCGAATGTTGATTTACTTTTTTTTAGCCTGAGGAATATGAGGATCTTGTCCAGGAAAGAATTCCCTCACCGGTGAGTTAAGATCGTGTTGTCGCAAGTAGTTGCCCAGAGACCTATGCGACTTGCATGATAGACCGTGCGCTGATATAGTCTCAAATTGATTAAAAAAAAGTAAACTGTCATGATTTCAATCGATTTCATTTGCGCGCATTTCAAAGTAAAAGCCAGCTCTTTGTAAACGGCTCCTTTGGTTTTTAAAGAGCTGCATATAGTGGCAGCACATGCTTGATACTTATCCACTTCAACCACTTCATCCGGTTCACTGTTTTGAAACAAAACAATGTCTCATCGTTTTGTCATTTGGCGAGAATGAAGTGAATGAGTACAGGTGTCATGGGCGCAGTTATAAACGCTGAAGTTGAAATTTGGGGGTATGTGAAATTACTCGCTTTTCGCATGCAAATTACGAATAAAGCTCAAAATGAAATGTTAGCTTTTGAAAACGGTGCAAAGCTTAGAATTCAACTTGCCATTTCAGGTGATCATCGAGCCACTGCGCCATTAGTGCAACTTCCAGTTGGCCACTCAGGTAAGAAAAATAACTTTTTTTTCAAAATGTGCAGAAACTTCATTACTGGGAAAGTGATTTTCTATCACAGAATACTAAGTTTTGGAATTTAAAAGATATGCAGAATTGCAGAATTTCTCATCAAAAGTGCTATAAGGAATGAACACTTTTACGCATCTCTCAGCACTAGCTTTATCTCGAGATATTACTATTGCTTTTTCGAAACTGTTTTAGTTTGACGACATAATCAGTCTTTACGACAAGACTATGCATAGCCGCAGGCTCTACTTATTTTTTAGTTCAAAATGCTGAAAATACTTTCCATTTCCAGAATTGCCTAAGAAAACGGTATTTCAGGTCGAAGAAGCCTACCAACAAGTCTTCGGCTATTGTGTTTTACGAATAAACACTTGTTGCAATACTGTTTTACTAACAGAACGCAATTTGATTCTTTTTCAATAACAAATAGAGATTTCGGTAGAGATGATGAACGAATCGACCGTTTGCACATTTCAAGCGCATCCATACACCTTCACAGACGCTCGAATTACATAAGAGTATATCAAGCGAAAACTGGGAAGGCTCAAGTAAGAAAGAGGCCTTTATGACTCACAACGTTTAATGGAAGATTTACATGGGTAGCTTAGTTGATTTTATAAGATTAAATAATTTGAAGCTTATATTGCGTTCAAACTAAGTTGGTGATTACTGCTAATCTTCCTATAGAAGGCAATGAGCCCACCATCTGAAGTTACAGATCAGCTTTCATCGTAAAAGATAGGGTGAGAGGTTGTACTAACAAGTGCTTAGCGAGAGGACACTGCCTTTATAGTGAGCAAAGTCGTTTTCGGGCAGGGTCAAGCTTGTAATGCGACTGTCGCAACGGGGGGTCGTAAGAGGGTATCTAAGATGGGGGAGGGGGGTCGTAAGAGGAGGTAGTTAGGCCAAAATATTTTAAGCTTAAAAAAGAATCAAAAAGCAGATAATTAGTTATGTTCTTTGAAACAAATCTGTAAAAAAGTGGAAATCAGAATAGAAAAGATGGCATATTCTGTCAATTCCTTGCGGCTCTTTGTGCCCGCTACCGTAATGACTATCTTTCTGTTTTTGGAGCTTTACAGAGATGCATATAATGACAGTATGCTTACGTACGTTGAACTTATACTCCTCGCGCAGTGATTGCGGACATAAAGCTCGCTTTTACCTTGTACATTTCAGTCTCAAAGAGATAAAGCAAAATGAAAGGTATTTTTCATAGCAATGCAGAGATCTTGTAATTTGCCATTATTTAGCAAGTGCATCACAGTACAACGAGCAAAAATGAAAAGACCAGCATTTTGATTGCAAGTAAAAAAATCAAAACTATTCAAAAAAAATCAGCTTTAATATAACTTTTGATCCGCAGACTCATAAATTTTATGAAAGATGACATACTCTAGCTCCACTTGTATACCAGAACATTAACATCAAGTTCTGAAGCTTTTTGCCCTAAAGGCTCCAACAGTAAAACAATTGTGAGCACCATCCCTCTTTCTGTCAGAACAACTTTAGCGCAGGGAAAGACTTCCAAAGTAACCACACTTTAATAAAATTCAGAATTCACTTACAAGAGACTATGCGCAGCTGCAAAAAATTGCTCAATTTTATTGCACAACATTTAAACTGGCTTTTCTGTTTTGAAGTTTGCTTTAGAAAACACAATTTATTTTAGGCTGGAAAAGTTCACAGGCAACGCTTCGATTCTGTTGATTTGAAAAACAAACATTTCTACATTTGTCTTTACAACATCACCAAAGTCAAATCGTTTCGATAACGAACAGGGTCTTGGAGAAGCTAAGGAATCAATCAAGAACTTGAACGAAGCGAGTTCATACACTTTTACAGACACATTGTACACAAAAATATATCAAACGTTTTAAGATAGGAGTCTGTTGATTTGAAACGTGATGGTGAAAAGATGTGAAAAATGAACAAATCAAAATGACAATCAAGGTATGTATAATAATAGGTATAATAGAGCTCACCCTTCCGTATTACTTTGGTAAACATTTTCCAGCCCCTTGATCAGGCTGTCATATTCCTGCTTCCCTCCCTTGCTAACGCAATGCTGAAACTCAAATTTAAAAAAGCTCTTAACATTGAAAGGCAAGGGAATTTTTTAACACAACTCTTGGTGTTTTCGTAAATACCACCCTACCTCTTATACTAACATAAATTCCGATCGTCTAAATTTTTCTGGAAAAAATCGATAGCATCAGTAAAGAAAAAGTAGTTGATGATACCTAATCCATTCCCCCTAAAGTTTATGTGTGTATACATAATCCCTAGTCCTTTTCCCTCAAGTTTATAGGAGTAATATTTAGTTTTAATTGGTGAGGGATGAATTTTGATGGGAAGATAAATACAGACAGGCACAAAGACGTTCGGCTTCTATAAAAGTTGATTGTGTTAGTTAAAATGATCGCGATTCGGAGTTCATCTTCAAAACGCATTTTTCATTCGTCATTCAATAATATAGCTTCCTGAAAAATCTGCAAAACGTTATCCGTTTAGCCATTTCTTTTGAGGCTGAATGAAGCCCACTGAACTAAAAGCACATCAATTCCCGGAATCTACTGCAGTTTGATACAATTCTACACCAGCTCTATCAAGGTGTCAATTCTCCGCTTGACATAGTGTGGTTGCGGTGCCGAGATTCTGCAGCCAGATTTGCGCGTGAACGATAGCAACGGCAGTAATGCCAGCATCTTGCAGCAAGTGGCCGGCACTACAAATGTAGCTATTTGTTCAAGCGGAACACCTCAAGCAGATATTGAGCGGAAAATCTACACTGTATAATGAAAAACTTGACACGCTATCATTTCATTTAATCACTGTTTTTTGCGTTATTCAACAGATCTAATTAGATAAGAGGAAGTCAACACGGTGGATACAGCCGTCTGGCTTTTTCGTTTCTTCCCTCATACAATACCGCTCGTTATTTGTGAAAAAAGACGCACAGTTGCCCGATTTATGTGACACAGTAGCGTGGCCACACCTCGCTTCAGAATGGACTATTCTTATTCCAAAGAATCCATTCAGCTCAGCTCAACGCGGCGCATCCTCTAATATATAGAATTGCCCTCATAGACACAGTAAGAGGCCAAATTCCGCGAATTGTTCCAGTTTTTTACTTACGGTAGATCGCCAAGTGAGTGCAACCAATAAGCGCAGTGTGTAGCCTACCGTAAGCAAAAATCTGAAATAATTCGTGGGATCTGGCGTGCAAGGTGCACAAAGCGTTATCAATCAAAATGCAATCCAATTTCAAAACGATAATTCAACTTAGGGGAGACATGGCAGGCTGTCAAGCACTATCAGCTTTCCGAATGTTTACATCTAGAAACTCTACTCATGACCGTGCAAGCCCGCTTTCGAGCAGGCAAAGTGGCTTGGATAACTAGCTGCTTTGAGTTAAAAGCCTTGAAATTTATGGCTTTTGATGCAAAGCTGAGGGAGAGTGAAGCTATCTGTTGATTGCATCATGGGTTTTCATGGAGTCCTGATTTCATTCATTATGTAACACATTTATTTCTAGACAATAAAATTGAACCACCCGTGCAACTACATTTAGGTATATTAATCATTTTATTTATTTTCATTTAGGTACAAAAAAATTTGGGAAAAATTCCAAAAAATGTTTCGAAGCGCTTGGCTAGCAAACTTTCATCAAATATAGAAGTGCCCGACACAGTAGGAGTTCAATAATGTCTGCTTCTAACAAATTTGTGTAAAAAAAGACTCCAGCACCAAACAGAACGCCCAAAACGTCGATATGTCTATTAGTTTGTCTCAAAAGTAAACCCCTTCCGTACTCGTTTTCCTGGCAAACCGAAAAGCGATGCAAGCTCTACAGATGATTCCAAAAATCCTAAGTCGCAATCCAGGTAAAAATCAACACTAAAAATAAAAGATTTTTCAACTAACCTAAAATTTTCTCTTTCCAGATTAAAGATTGAAACAATTATTTCTGTTTAGTTTTGGAGTTTATAACACAAATTCTCGGCTCTCTAACTTGGTTGTTATACAGAAGACATATAGTAGTACCCAAAAATGCATTTGGGATTTTTCCGGATCTCAAATCAAGAGATATTACTCGAAAACTCGTCACTTTTTTCTGGTATTCCAACACATCCAGATTTAGAATCTCAAGGTTATGCTTAATAAACAGGGAACGATACTTGGTGACTCCATCCATTCATATTGGTTTGTATATCAAAAATGCGCTTTTAAATGCTGCTTCGAATACTGTTTTACACATCTGCGAAATGAAAATCTGGATGGAGTTGTGATGATTTTTTTTTCAAAAATAAATTGCGCTACTGCAGAGGGTGAAAAGCTTTGTTTTTCTTTCCTCTTCAAAAGCTGAATATGATTTGGATAGGTATAAATACAACGTTACACCTTTCAAGGTTCTCCTCAGTAGCTTCAAACGGTAAAGTAGATCAAACTGCTAAAAACTTAAAATTTTCTACGAAAAAAGTTCCTTCGGAAGATGTTTAGCACAGATTTCGAGCACAGATATAGAATCAGCTATTCGAGATGCACCTTATAGTATACATCGCATTTCAAATGGCCGGGATCACCAAGTATCCTTTCCTTGTAAGGCTTGCATTATACAATCGTAATCATCTATGTGGGAAGAGCTGGGGCAGTCTGAGATTTTCTGACTATCTTTTTCCTCAGTTTCTAAGCACGGAAAAAGCCACTAAAAGCAATTTTTTTAATACTACTATGTGTCTACTGTGTGATGACTAAATTGTCCGCTGGAATGTTCTCAAAGGAGACTCAGTCGGAAGGGTAGGCAAAATTTTTTTGATTCTTGGCTTACGACTTAGGCGGATTTTTGGCGGTCATTTTGTAGAGCTTGCTTAGCTCTGTCGAATGGAACCCTGAATTATTCAGGAAAACAAAGACAGCTTGATGTAGAGGTAGTTTTCGGGGCCTTAATATAAATG